CTGGGGTCACGGGTGACCCGCAGGTATCTGACGGGTCGGTGCTATCCCCATCGGCGGTTAGTAAGGTCGGGGGATCGGGTGAGCCCAAGGATTCAGGCGAGGCTCGGGGATCAGATATTTCGGGGACGGAATTTTGCCGGAGAGGATTTATAACACCGAGTCATCCAGTATGGCTGGGGGAGTTTCTCGGGATGCTTTGATGATCTTGGTAAACCAACGAAAGAAAAACCCGATTAATGATGTCAAGGATAAGTTACCCTTCTTCGAGGGTTGCGACACCATAGACGAGGAGGCTTCTCAAAACTTGGAGTGGTGGCTGTCTGTGGTAGAGGACCTGACCACAGGGGAACAATGGGACGACTCGGGCAGGATATATTTAGCCTTAGAGCGGCTGAGGGGCGAACCGCTGCAGACTTGGAGGTTCTGGAGGGCTGAAAACACAATGGATGTGTGGAGCTCTTTAAAGGAGCAGCTTCTTAAGGTTCATGCTGTTAAGCCAAGTCTGAGCACACTACTGGTTCGGTTCGGTGAAATGAAGAGGAAGGATGGAGAGCCGGTTATCACTTTTTTCAATCGCCTGCGTCAGGTTGCTTGGGAGTTGAAGTGCGTCGGCAAGGGGTTGGAGCCTTTAATTATGGGGGCATATGGTATATTGTTCGCTAAGGACTTGCCTGCTTCCTTCATTCAGAAACATACTCTGCATGATGTTGTTTCCCCAATAACTCTTTTAGGGTTATACAACTCATGGGCGTCTGACAACCCAGAGTTGGTGGCTTCGACTAAAGGCCCAGCAGGTGCTCAGACAGTTGCGGCTGCTGCTTCACCTAGGATGCTGGAGCAAAGCCCATTGAAGGGGGATGTAAAAGCTGGGAGACAGGCCCAGGGAAAGCAGGTTAGTAGTAGGGCTGGTGGTTCTGTCCCTTGCCTGTATTGTAATATTGTGGGTCATTCTTTGAATGATTGTACTGCCCATGTTAGGATGATTAGAGAGGGTGAGGTCGGTCAGGTTAAATGCGCATACTGTTCACAGTATGGTCACAGTATTGAGTCCTGTACAGTTTTTCAGGGTGATCTGCACGGGTTACGTGGAGAGTCACAGGCTGGTGGGGTGAGTGGTGCTTGGGGTGCGTCGCTGGACAGAAGGACGATCACGGTCGCGGGACGACCAAGGGACAGGAGGCCAGGGAGTATGTTGTGCTTCTACTGCCAACAGCCAGGTCACATAAAGTTACACTGTCCATTGCGACTATAGAAGAGAGAGGGAGGACAGGGCTCCCCGCCTCCTTATTAAAAAAACAAGGAGGAAAGGGAGAGCACTTAGAAGTGCTTCCTGGGCTTGTTTCTCGTAGTACTGGCTATGTCATCAGATTCCTCTTTAGGGATGGGGAGAGTTATCACTGTACAGTCTCTCGGTGGAGGGTTACTTTTGTTTGATTTAGTAGTTTTGGGTGAACTAACACATTATTGGTTTGTAGTGGTTTTCTGCATGGAAGGAATATCGAGATAAGAGATTCCGATCTTAAGGTCAGGTGGGGTGGTGTCACTGTTATAGGCCAAAGAGGGGAGCTCGCTATTCCACTTGTGTTGGTCCTAGTGCGTCGGCCTCTGGGGAGGTAGTAGGAACAGTCCAAAAGGTACTCATAAGTGAGGGGGAGGACACTGCAGATAGCAACATAGCACATAGTGAGGTAGCCACTCTAAAAGAGAGCCAGATTATAGAGCCAAATTCGTCTGGGGTGTTAGATTTAGAACTCAGTGGGGGTGGAGAGGTTCTGGGAAGGATAGGATCCATGCTGTTTATACCCCGGGAGTTAGCGGGCTTAAGACTTTCGGAGGGAGTAGTCGGGATACGACGGTCCGGAAAGAGTCTTTGGTTCAGTGTTCCTTATGTAATTGAGGAGGATTTTCTGGTTGAGGTAGAGTCAACGGTCTGCATAAGGGACGTCGTCGAGTTGCAAGAACATCAACTTGACGAGGACATAGTTGCGATAGGAGCTGTCGGTGCTAGTATAAGTACTACGGACACCAAAGTAGTTAGGTTGCTAGAGGTAGATGGTTCGCAAGGGGCTCAAAGGAGCATGACATGTCAGGGTTGGTTCAAGAGTTTTCAAGTGTTTTTTCTCTGGATGATGAAACATTGGTGATCTCTGATCAATTTTTCCATGAGATTAGGGCAGAAGGACCACCTATATATAAGAATCTGATTCTCTTAAAATATAGGGAAGAGATTAGGCACCAAATCAAGGATATGATGTCACAGGGAGTGATTTCACTCTCACGGTCACCTTATAACAGTCCTTTAGTATCCGTCAGGAAGAAGGATGGAAGTCTAAGGCTGTGCTTGGATTTTAGACTGTTAATGAAGTAGTCCAAGATGATTGGTATCCATTCCCACACTTAGAAACGGTCTTACAACGAATGGGTCGGAGTAGGATTTTTTCTTGTCTCGACTCCGGAGGGGCACTATCATTTCAATGTGTTACCTTTTGGTTTGAAGGATGCTCATGCTTCCTTCCAGTGTATTATAAACCAGGTTGTCACTGGACTAATAGGGGAGGTAGGGTTTGTATACTTAGATGATATTGTTGTTCTTGGAGATTCGTGGGAAGAACACTGTGAAAATTTGAGAGCAGTGCTGGAACGGCTGAAAGAGGCAAATCTCGTATCAAAGTTGTCAAAGTATAATTTCTTCAAGCCCCAGGTAGATTATTTGGGCCACATTATCTCAGATGTTGGGATGAAGCCTCAGCCACAGAAGGTTAGGGCAATGAAGGAGTATCCTCTTCCAACTACCATGCGAGAATTGCAGGCATTTTTAGGTGCTGCTAATTATTATCATAAGTATATTAGAGTGGAATTCTAAGGCAAAAGAGGATTTCGAGCTTTTGAAGGGAGCTTTGAGCGAGGATATAGTACAGAACTTTCCGGATTTTGATAGACCTTATGTATTGACCACCGATGCCAGCAAGTTTGCCATTGGAGGGGTTCTTCAACACCAAGACGATGCTGGGCTATTACGGCCTCTGTTATATTTTAGTCAAGCACTTAAAGGGCAAGAGCTTAATTATAGTACAATAGAGCGTGAGGCTTTAGCTATTGTTTATGGGCTTCGAGTGAATCATACCATTCTTCAGGGTTATCTGGTGGAGGTCCATTCGGACCATCAGCCTTTGTGGCATTAGTTTGCCAGTAAGGAAGGATCAGACCAGGTGGCTAGATGGTAGATGCCCATAGCTGATTTGGATATTCAAGTAGACTATATACCTGGGAGGGATAATGTTGTAGCAGATGCGTTGTCCCGTATCAGAGAGGCTGATCATCCCATTGATGATTTGGTAGTAGGGGCCGTTACCAGAAGCAGACGGCTTGCCAGAGGGGCAGTAGAACAACCTGGGGATGCTGGAAGTTCTCTGCCTGTGTCAGAGGGAGTAGTGGTCCCAAGTGGTTGTAGTGGTTGAGAAGTTGAGGAAGGCTCAGGCAATAGACCCTTTTTGGGGTGTGGTGAAGCGTCACCTGGTGGAAGGGGCGGCCTTGCCGGAGGGTTTCGGTAGGCATCTTCCTGGAAGCATAGATTGTTATCAAGTCTGGCCAGATGGGCTGTTATATAATGTCCATACGAAGGTCTATGGGGTTAAGATTTTTAGGGTAGTGGTACTAGAAGAGTTTCAAGAGGTTGCTTTGCAGCTGGCACACATTCTCCCTATCTCAGGTCATGGAGGGGTGACTACTACGCTAGTGAGGCTGGAGAAATTTGCATTTTTTAGGGGGATGAAGGATGCAGTGTGGGGGTTTTGCAGGAAATGCGAAACCCGTTTGCGTTGTAAACCGGGGAGGCGGGTTCCAGCACCCCTGTTGAGTTATAAGTTATGGAGGCTGTCTGATTCATGTTGACAGGCTAAAATTAGAGACATCTCTCGGCAGGGAGGAAATGTAAATAGGGCATATCCAATAATCCAATGACCCTACTGACTCTAAGGAGCAGGAAGGAAGCTCCGGGGTGAATAGTATATAATGAGTCGAAGTCAGTGTGGAGCTCTTGTTTTTGTAATGTCATGCTCAAGGTAGGTTGTTTTTCAGGTTATTTTGGGAGTGGGGGCCCGGATGGAGTCAGAGGATTCTTTGGTAAGCACCGGGCTAGTTTTCATTCTGGAGGGACGGGTCCTCTACACTTCGTCAGTTCAGAACATACCCATACAAGTAGAGAGGTCACGGCTTACCGGGCCTTTGCTTGAGTTCCAGGCCTGGCTGCAGGACATAGAAAACTGCTTGGATACTATACAGTTAAGTACTACCAAACAGTATGACGAATAGTAATAATAATAATAATAATTTAGTTTGAATAGAGTAGGGGCAATAACCTTTTTGATGATGGGGGAAACATCACGACAAAGACGTTCCATCATTGGAGGTATCTCGGTGTTAACGAATATTGCGAACTTCGCCTTGGGGGTAGTAGCAAATGGCAGGATAGACAGACTACACTCTATGCTCGTGTCTACTGAGGCGACGGCTCGCAAAGCTTTATCAGTAGGGGAGGTATCACTTTCCCTCCTGGAAAGCACTCTCGGGGATGTTACACGCCTTGAGGTGGCTCAAAAAAGGCTGGAGGATTCAGTTGAGTTGTTAGACTGGGCAGTCAAGAGACTGGGAAAATCAGGTGAGAGGCTCAGCGGTTATTTTTGCTTAGTCTAACCCTGGAGAATTACAGGTCAGTCTTAAAAAGGATCAGGCAGGACCAATATGAATTAGTGGGTGGGTTAGAAGATGCAATTAAGGGACATTTTTCACCGTAACTCTTACCCTGGATACAGTTTTGGATATACTATTACAGCTTTCACGCGAGGGGGTACACTTGATTTTTCCTCCATGAGAGCAGGATGTTCATTTGTATTATGATCTGATACATGTGACGGTTCGGCCAGGGATTTCCTCTGGACAGCTGATTATGTATCTAGTGCTTCCCCTGCCAGGGTTGGGGTTGGATGTTTTCAGTGTCCATA